TGCTGCCCTGCTCGGTAACGTGTCTCTCTGAAATGTAATAATTCATTAAGTTGAATTTAACTGCTTCCCCCCTCCCCCTTGCATCGCTGCCACCCCTCCTTCTAATGGACAAAAGCAATTAGACTCTATTAAGGACCGGGAGTCTGGGAAGTGCCACCCTCAGGGACATTGCAGCAGCTGAATGGACCTTGTCCCTTGTGTGCCGAGCACCTGCTGCTTGTAAATTAGAGCCCCTGGAGCAAATGGCTGGGTAGCGGGAAATGTCCTTCCCTGTCATAGCCCCTGACGCTTCCCCCAGTGGCAATGGGCTGGGCGCTTTCCTAGGTGAACCGTGGCACAGCAAACTTGGGCCTTTGTAAGGGGATGGCTGAAAAAATGCTCCTGTTCCTTCCTACAAGGATGTTTTAGGCTTAGCTGGTCCTTATGGATAGGTTTAATCGTGGCTGCATCACAGCAGCTTTGCTCGCTGGGCAGCCTGGGCAGTGGAAGGAGGCAGCAGCCTCAGCAGAGCGGGAGCTACCAAGTGGCCTGGGAAGCAAGAGGTGAGAAGGAGAGAGAGGCCCTGTTCCTAGCTGGTGTAAATCAGAGTTGGGTGTATTGGCTACACTGGAACCATCCGTGATGTATCATGGCTGAGGATCCAACCTGTTAGGTGCTTTTCCATAGGCACGGACAAATCTGTGATCAGAGGAGGGCTACCTGCTCCAATGTGGCTTGTTGAGATGGGCGCTGCTGCCCATTCGGCTCCTCACCTGCAGATGAGTGGGACCACAGCCCAGACACCCTGTTTTGCAGAGTGTGTATCTGCTGGTGCAATTTTTCTGCTCAGAAACTTCCCGGTTTGAGGTTATGTCAGTGTCGGACTGACTTTCCAAGTGCAGGAGGAAGTGGCTTTCACCAGCCAAGGCAATCCGGGGGGGAAAGGCAGCTTGATTGTAGATTCTGGCATTAAATATTGTCTTCTTATTTCTTGATGCCCCAAACTTGCTGCTGAATTGAGGCTGGGGAGGAGTTTGAGAGATGAGGGCACAGCTGCAGTTGTCCTGCCTCCTCTCCATGTAGCGCAGGATGTTTTGTGCTGCCATTCAGAGGGATGGAGAGTTGGAGACAGGTTGGAGAGCTGGGCAGAGAGGAACCTCATGAGGTTCCACAAGGACACGTGCAGGGTCCTGCACCCGGGGAGGAATAACCCCAGACACCAGTACAGATTAGGGGTCGACCTGCTGGAGAGCAGCTCCGCAGAGAGGGACCTGGGAGCCTTGGTTGTTACGAGGGCTAACCTGGTAACATGGTTAGTTAACCATGAGGCAGCAGTGCCCTCGTTCACAAGAAGGCCAATGGGATCCTGGCTGTATCAGGAGGATGTTGGCAGCAGGGCAGGGAGGGGATCCTGCCCCTCTACTCAGCTCTGGGGAGGCTGCACCTGGAGTGTTGGGTGCAGTTCTGGGCTCCCTGATACAAGAGAGATGTGGAGCTTCTAGAGAGGGTCCAGCAGAGAGCAACAAAGATGATTAAAGGACTGGAGTATCTCTTGTATGAGGAAAGACTAAGCAAACAGGGCCTGTTCGGGGAGGGGAGAGGAGGGGAGAGGAGGGGAGGGGAGAGGAGGGGAGAGGAGAGGAGAGGAGAGGAGAGGAGAGGAGAG